ACACTTTGACTAGGCCGTCTCTGTGCTGTGGTGAGCACGAAAACTAGACTGGAAGGAGTCAAAGTGATTCATTATTGTTAGAAGTTATTTATTTGTTTAAAAACTGCCTTTTCAAAAGACACAACACCCCTTTTAATAACTCTATATTCAGTTTTAGGTCTGTTGAATTATTGTTTTATAAAATAAAATACCCCAGATTATCATAAAAACACAAAATCATAAGGGCAAATGTAATTCAAGTTTAAATTTTAGATCTTAATGATTTTTAGAGTCCTATCGACTCTAAATCTGAGCCATGTTTTCTTTTTTTCTCATGTTGTTGCGGTTGGGGATGGAAAGTTTTGTTCCTCCGCAGAACGTCTCCATCTAAAGACTGACCTCTGGTGATGGAAAGAGGAAGCTGGTCACACTGGTTTCTCACTCCGACACCAACTGGTTGCTGGTTTTCTGCAGACAGAGAACAAAAGTTTCATCAAGACACTCATGCTGAGTTAAACTCATAATTATTCCAACAATTTAAAATCTTTTCAGTTGACCGCCATCTTTGTTCTGACTGGAGGTAATATTTATGTTTTGGAGCGACTCAAACCAGAACCTGATGAGAATAAAAGTTTTATCAGCTTGTATTTTAAATCCTTTTCCTCAAACAGAAGAAAATGTATCCAGGCTCTTTTTGAAAGTTATTATTCAGGCTGTTTATTGATGCCTTCATTACACATAGTGGACTCTTCCAAAAAGATATGTATTAACAATAAATGCTTATTAAAAATTCTAACATCATTTTTCAAAAGCTCAGGTAACATTAGTGGCTCTGTGTTGTAAAGACGACTGAAACCTTTGATCTCATCAAATAAACCATCAAAATATCAAAGGAAACATGAAAAAGCTGCACAGCTGTGATAAGAAAGGTTTGGTTGCTGTAATATTTCCTTCTGATTTTTGACAAGTTTTAAACATTTCTTTATTAAAATGTAGAAAAAATATTTTCACTATGAAAAAAGTTTAATCTGAATATGACAGCTGGATAATTGTAGGATTCCCTGTACATGAAAAATACAGATTTAATGTGTAGTTTGTTTATAAAAGTGTTATGATGGAAACTCTGAGTTGGTCAGAGTTCATGGGTAATTGAAGCAGATCTTGTGGTTTCTCTCAGCAGACACTGATCTTGTTTTTCTCTGCAGCTCTGCAGATCTCCAGCATTCCTGCTGCAGTGAACCAGTTTACTGGATCAGCAGGAGAAGATTTCTCAGGACATTGTGGCTCTTCTTTCTCTGGAAGCAGGAAGATCTTCTGCAGGGAAAACTGTGAGGAAGGAAACGTTCTGATAGAAACCACAAAGAATTCAGCTGAAAACGGACGATACGGCATTGAATATGTCAAAGTTCATGGACCAAACATTTACAGCTTCTACGTGAAGATCTCAGGCCTGACTGAGTCTGACTCGGGTCGGTACAGATGTGGTTTGGGAGAATCCTCAGTGTCCTACCAGGATTTCACTCTCAGTGTTTCAGGATGTGAGTTTCTGCTCAAACGCTTTTACTCTGAAGTTTAACAGATTAATCTTCACATTAATGAACGGATTAACAGGCCTTCTGTCCCACATTCAGCTCCATTTCCTTCAGCTCTCATGAGCGTCTTGCTCCTGCTAAAGAAAAGCCTCCCCACAGCATGATTCTGCCGCTGCCCTGCTTCAGTATGGGTGTGGTGCCCTCAGGTGTCGGTGTTCTGCCACACATCCAGACCAAAACAAAGCTGGTCTCCTCTGAACTGAACCTTCCTGCAGCTTTCTGCAGGTTCCTCCTGCATGAAACGGCTCACAGCTTTCAAACCGAAACTTTGCATCGGCAGAAACCCTGAAACTTGAACCGCACAAAAAAAATAAAATAAAATATATATATA